GTGTGTGTGTGTGTGTGTGTGTGTGTGTGCGTGCGTGTGTGGTGTGTGTTAAGCCTGCGATACCGACCGCTACCTCGTGGCCGAACAGCGCGCTATTACAAATCCGCGCCCTCTGCTTCCGAGAGAGGATGATTATGACCATGCATTATTATTCTACCACAAATGTAACTGACTACAACTGTTACGACCAATTATTTATGAATATGTAATCAATTGTCAATTGCGATCTGTCTGTGTTTTGCCGATGTTGCGATGATACTGTTTATTTCTGGTGACTTGCCCGCCCCTGCATGGCTTATATACGTGATATATCTACGTCCTCATCGTGGTTATAGTACGTGCGTGTGATTCCACTAGCTCGATAACTGACGAAATATACCGCCCGTAGCTCCAAGCCACTGTCGTGCGTTGCAAGATATCAAGACCTAATAACACATGTATTATTAGCTCTCGAAGATACGTGTACAGACGTATAGCCGTGCCACAACCAATTTGGATATAATTGCCAGAGTTATTTCTCCCGCCGACCGCTGCCAATAGACGGCCGCACGATGGCGATGCGGACGGATTAAGGAGGTTAATTAGCACCAAGCTGTGTTATCATCAATGCCCCTCGGCTAATATATTCTTGGCGAGTAGGTAAGCAGGGTATCCGCGATGTGGTTTAAGGAAGCCGGCGTACAGAACGTGTGAACGTCCGTTAACTCTCTGCTACGTTCTTTTTAATGCAGCGTCGGTCTGTGTTAAGTTTTGCTGGTCGTATAGTCACACATAGACAGGTATACATTACGCGCACAAGCTCATCAGTAGTTTTCGTAGTATTTTAAACACTCTTTTTCTGCTATCTTTAATGCGATATGCACAACGCCGTACGTGCTGCAGTGAATCACAAACCGCACGCCCGCTTTACCTCACAGTGTGACCGAGAGTCAATGCATACAGAACGCCATCTAGTGCTGCCAAGCGAAACTTCACGCGGAAATGCGTGCACACGTTGCAGTGGTTCTGTGTTAGTTTTGTCACAAGTAGGTGTTTCGATTCAACCCTGCCGCAGCTGTTTAGATATTGCGCCGCCAAAATTTGCGTAGCGGTTTGGCAGCTTGCATGCAGAAGCTACAACCACGCGCATTCATATTTAGCGAAGAAGAAGGAACGAATATTACATTGCCAACATATGTTGCGTGATGGTTTTATTTCCCTGCTACTGTTACCGGCAACATATTATATGCCTCGTTGCATGGAAGCTGGCTATTTGTATGAGGGACAGCTGGGGAGAGGTTGTCGCTTGCTTGGCTTCCTTGCCCGTAGCTGTCCCCCACTACACATGAACGCCGCGAGCGCCCCACGTGTTCACACGTCGCACTAAAATATGTTGCATATATTTGGGGATTGCCAAACTCCAGAGGAGGTTGGGGCGAATAATGCGGATGGCTGTCTGTGTTACAAATGTAACCCTCGAGCATAACTGAGTATGTCTAGCACACAACCACTCATCACGTGTGTAGCCAGTATCGCTCTCTAGGGACCTTGTGTGAAGATGTAGCGGCCATTGCTATAGGCAGATGGGCATCCGAACTATTCGCTCTAGTTTACAACATGTACAAGATAATACCGTCGAAGTGTATGTGCGAATTCTATCTTACGTTATGCGCGCGATATTTAAATACTAACTATCTAATTATTAGTTATTTCTCATTACTTACGATGTTTCATTCCCTCCAAGTACTGATCTAACTACTGTTCTGTAATTTTAACAATAGTGCACCCTTAATATAGATGTTCGTAGAATTTTGATATGAACGTCTAAGGGCTCGATGATTTGTCGTTCGTCATACTCACACATATGCACGTTTCGATTACGTTTTGCTACAATATGGCCGACAGTCAGTGGTTTGTGGGGTTAGAATCACTGATCTCTATATTATACTACCATTAGTATAATATTTATAATATTATCAGGAGTGAATAATAATAGAATCTATTATTATTCACTCCTGATATAATACTAACGTTAGTATATAGTGATCAGTGGTTGGGATTCGTACATACACTTACCGGTATCAGCTGCAGGGTTCACAGCGCGCATGGTCACTGCCGCAACGCGCATTATAGATAGCATAGCGAGCGGTCGCCGCCATCTTTTAATTGCACATTGGCATTTTGTGTTTTCCACCGTATATGTTTTTACATCAATTTACATTGATAAATGTCGTATGATGTTATCGAACACGATCAATATTTATTTACGATTGAATTCCGACAGAATGTGAGAATAAATGGTTATATTAGTAGTATCCGTCGTTTTCAGTTCTTGTCATCGAGAAGATAACAGAAGAGACGGACGAAAGCAGCAAGGAGGGATCGGAGAATGATGAGGAGCAGCACGAGGACAAGTACGAGAAGGGGAAGAAGGAGGAGAAGGAGGAGGAGGAGAAGAAAGGAGAGGAGGAGGAGAAGCAGGAGGTGGGAGAGGTGGAGGAGGAGGAGGAGGGGGAGGAGGAGGAGAGCGTATTTAACAGCGATGATACAACCAATGAACATAAAGAAGGAACCGCCGGCCATGTTGTGTAAGGACAGCGACAGTGGCTCCCTCTTGTCCCGCGACGCAGAGATGAGAAGCGTATGTATATACATACATATATATATATATATATATATATATATATATATATATAATACATATATATCAGCAGTTAATAAGTGATTGTCTTTATTAACTCTTGGTTGATTATTACGTGATTAGATGATTACGTGATTATTACGTTATTTGATGATTAACTCGTGATTGTCTTATGGATTTGTCTTTATTCATTCCTGATATATATATATATATATATGGTTAAGATGAGGTCGCCTCTGTACATCGGAGACAGGATCCGGGGTAGATTTCACTAGGTTTTGGAGCTGAGTAGGGTAATGAGTACCGATATGGGTTGGGTGCGGTGGTGGCAGCTTGGATCGACTCAGTTTTGGTGGAGTGGTTGAAGTGGTGAGTTGGGTAGAGAGGGGAGTTTAAAGGGTTGGTGTAAAATATGAGTGCGGCTACCATGTAAGTGGGATCGCATGACATCGGGTGACCTTAGGTGCATATTTGTATACATTTGCCGTACATTTTGGCCGATTTGATTATATCCACGTATCTGCTTAATCATGCTTGAATCTATTAAATTTTCTACTGAAGTAGTTACGATTAATCTTATAGAGTGAGTCAGGATATGGCTATGGTGGAGGAGACGTTGCCGACTAACGGATTGGCTAATGTGCGTTGAGCGCTTCCTTTGATGTCTAGGGATGTCGAGATATGCTGTAAATGATATGAGCAAGAAACAGAGATGAGAGAACGAGACGGAACGCGTTATCATATAGGCAGGGAACTGTGACATAATTGATTGATTTAATGATTGTGATTGAAGTTTGATTGGGACATGATTAAATGACATCTAACGCATAGTGCTACAGCTATTTCGCGATTGAAACAAGAGCAAGAGCATCCCTGCATGTGGCCGGAGAAACATTTTATTTACTAGATGTCGCCAGTGAAATGTTTCGCGGTATAAATGTGGGGCTATAATTTATAGACTATTATTATAAAACGAGGCACACCTTTATGCACTTCTGCTAACGTTGACCCATGAAGCACTCACTCACTGCCTAGACACCATACCACTTGCAGAATAAATTTAAGACTACACATAACGTTAATAATACGTTAATGCTTACAAATATTATTATAATAATGTCAATAAAGTTATTGTGATTAATAACACGTCAACCAATACTCCGATGCAACGTAATATTACATTTTCCCATCGGTACCTTGTTAGTTGGACCTATAGATATCTACGGTTGGTCCTATGGTTAGAGCTATTGCAAACGAAATCGTACACGAACGAATACGGACTAAAATATACCTAGTGTTCTAAAGGTGATGTGTGATCCAACTGATTTCAACTGTGTGCTGTATTATTAATCGTTCAGATTGAGATAAGAAGGCAAAAGTTGACCGTTATTTGTGATGATGAGGATGATGATGATGATGATGATGATGATGACGATACTGGTGATATACTCAACGAACGAGGGTTTTTTATTGCGAATTTCACAGTATTTATTGGCACGATGTTTGTATATAAATGTGCACATTGAAATTTTCGCATAGACGGTCGTATTTGGGACGGACGTAGTTTCCATCACTCTGTGTAACGTATTGCTGCTAAACCAACGGAACCAGAGGAGCAAGATAACACGATCAAGATCAAGCAACAAAAAGGTGTTGTGGTGGTTTTTAGACGAATATACGTGTCGCTGACGCGCACATGAGCAGCCAAATGCTTTTAAAGTTTTCGGCGTAAAATTATGACGTTCCATGCACGTGTGCTTCATTTTACACGAATTTGTTACGCTACTGTTACGCTTATATTAAAAGTGTGTTTTTTCATCAGCAGTAGCATTTCTTGGATAATTATCTACTCGATGTGGTCGTAAGTCCTCTAATAGTTGTCATCGGTATAACAATTTTGAGTTTAATTGCAACTTGGTAAGTCAAATACAATACCGTTGACTACAATGACCGTTTGGATATTAGACCGGATTTCCGCCCGGATGTCCGGCCGGATGTACGGCCGGATGTCTGCCCGGATATTCTCGTTGTCCGGGTCCGCGTCCCCTGCGTTCTTCGGCTGCGGTCCATCGCGCCTGACCGGACAGTCTGCGTCCGCCGCGAGCGGCGCCACTGTCGCCCGTCCATGATCGGGTTGCGGGCCGCGGAGAACTGCCTGTAGCTGTTCATATGTTGCCGTAGCTCGTGGAGGGTCCTGCCGACGTCAGCAACGATGCTGCTCACTTGTTCGTTTCCACCTAAAATGGGAATTACCAAAAATTTACGACATGGATATCAACACGTCAGTATTGAATAAAAACATTTTTATTTTTACTCTTTTCTGAACGCACGCACATTAGATGCATACACGCACGCACGTATATATATATATATATATATATATATATATATATATATATGCACATATAGACAATGGAGTGCGGGCGTTCCACTCTCAGTTAAAAGAATGCTCCAGGTAAAAACACATGCCATTCACCAGTTCCCTGTTAAATAAAATCGCAATTCCCATGTCAATTGTATATCTAAAACTTCCCCCGGCTCCCACATAATAAAAATTCCACAATCCTATGTCCCAAAAATTAACCGTTCTAGAAGTAAATGTACTCGCGCTGTCTTACCAACGAGTAGGAACGCATCATGCTCATCGCCCTTGCTAGCGTTCCATGTCACATTCTCCAGGCTAGCCATCACCGCCGCCAGCTTCTGAAAGTTTCTCCCGCTCGCGCTGTTGATGACGTCATCGCGCGTCTGCGTCAGCGCGCGGTATAACGCCATGAGGTCAATGACGAGATAGGGGTCACGCGCGAAAAACCTGCGACAGAGGTGAGATCGGTGTAAGTGGGTTGGTGGGTTGGTGGGTGGGTGGGTGGTTGGGTAGATATAGACATGTATAACTGTTTATATAAGCCACATAGTGGGTAATATAATAAAATACATTCACGCTACACTAGGTAAGTCACAGTCACGATATACATATATACAATATAAAAGACACAATTCACGGTGCTATATTTGTTAAATATATTCTCCAAACAACGATTATATGATTGTTGCTAGGACAATATATTTAACGAATATAGCATCGTGGTTTCTACGAGTTTTTGGTAAGAATCAACCACGCAAATATATATAGCCATTATGCCTCGAAGGTACACTAACGTTGACGACGCCAGCAGATGGCGCCACCGATCAGCTAAGTCTCATGCATTAATTAGGTTACGCGGATAAACGGCAACTACCAAACGATGAAAGTTTCTTCGGCATAACGTAACGTAACCCACGTCTAAGATTCAGATCGAGCCTATAATTCAATTTAATTTTAAATCGAGTCCGGTAGATGGCGGCTATACTTGTTGTAAGGGTGGGCACATGTTTCCATGAACCAAAGTATCCTCGTGACGTACTCTGACGTCACGCACGAACTCGGCTATCTCCGAAGTTGAATGCATTCAGCCTGCTGATAGTGCTGGTGGTTGCGCATGGTCATATTCCATACTACGCATATCAACTTCCGCATCAGACTTTCCGTATATCAAAGAATGATGCAAAAACCCTAACCTTAACCCTACACATATTCCATACTACGCATATCAACTTCCGCATCAGACTTTCCGTATATCAAAGAATGATGCAAAAAACCTAACCACAATCCTAACCCTAACACTAACGATACACCGACTCGGCTATCTTATATACTATCTATGGTATCCCAAAATCTATCTATGGTGTATAGATAGACACTGACGTCACACTGACGTTCACTGACGTCACGAGGATACTTTGGTTCATAGAAACATATGCCCACCTGTTGTAAGTGGGCATGCAGATGTAAGCACGTGTGATGACGCGTCACCTGTACCTGTCCATGGCCACACGAGGGAAGTTCGTGCGCGAAGCGTCGTAGTAAAACACAGACGATCGGTTCAGCAGACGATTTCCAACGTCCACAACCAGCGCCCTCTGGATCGCTTCTAGCGGCGGTGGCGACCTCTGTTCCACACCTAAACGCGGGTCAGGGGGCGCTGTTACGAGTGATCAGAGGTCTAAATAATGTGTGCAACGCTTTACGAAGAAAAGATTACGACATCCTTAACTAATGCTGACATATTCCCCATTATATCACATATTATATTATATATCTATATATTTTATATCATATATTTAGACTATAATTATATCACATTGCGTTCCTGAAAACGAACCCCTCTAGTAGTTGTTGCCAACGCTGAGTACGTCTGTTGCCATAAGCAACGCGGAAAGCTGTAGCGACGGGGTTGCCACCTGCTGGTAGAGCTACTCACCTGGACAGTCGATTTCGTCCGAAGCGGGGCCGACGAGGTTAAAGTTCGGACAGTCGCTGAGTCCGTCACAGGCCAGACGAGCCGGTATGCAGTGACCAGTCTCCTTGCAGCGAAACTGTGGCTCCTTGAGGCGGGGGTGATCGGGACAAGCCACCCACAGCATCCCGACTGTACAGCGATTAGGGAATCCAACACACACACGCACACCCGGCAACAGCACCCGCAACGCGCCCCCCCCCACACACACACAAACACACACACACACACACATGTATACTATATTATACTATATACTATATTATTAAAGAATCTTCGAGAAAACCGCCACCACGCGGTCATAAATGATGAAGCGACGAGAAACAGGGAACTAACACACAGCCAGAAGTACCGATAACTTGTTTACAGAATGTCGGAATCGCATAAACCGGGACGCGGGTAGTTTAATGCATTCCGATAACGGCCGACGATTATCCGAAATTACTGGGTATCTTCAACACCACTCGAGGCCCTTGAGTTGATTATATCAGGGGTTAATAATGACAAATTGTGAATTACAAAAGTGTGAATGACAAAAGTGTGAATAAATGAGTGAAAGAGTGAATGAAAGAGTGAATGAAAGAGTAAAACTTGTATAAATGACAAAACTGTAATAATGACAATTTGCCATAATTAACCCCTTGATTGTATCCGTGCTCCTACCTACCCTGTACTTGGCAGCAGCTCTCGTCGCTCGCATCGTCGCAGTGGGCGCGCCCATCGCAGCGTAGTCTCTCAGGGATGCAGCGAGCGCCGAGAAGCAGGGTACTAACGCCCGTCTCGCAGCGGAAGTCTCCATCCGGGCACTCTGGAAGGCAGACGACGGACGCATATTACTAAGCAGCATTGTTCCATCATCTACAGTCCGGTGGTGTCCTCCCTTATTTCCGTAGCTTACTCACTATCATTGTCCACTATGAAATCTCTGCTGCCTCCTGCCAAATTCTCTATCCTCCTTCTATGCCAGTGGCCTCTCTATTTCATTGTCTACATCATTGGTCCTTCTGCATTGCGCGATGTGCTTTCTCCCACCGTCTATTCCTCGGTCTCTCTGCATTCTACGAACTGTCTGTCGTAGCCGAACCCTACCGCTACCGCTACCGCTACTGCCATTAACCGCTTACCGTTGTCAGGTTACCCCCCCCCCTTCCCCGTGTTCGCTCACCCCACGGACACGTCACTTCCGTCTCGTCTGCCGCATCCATGCAGTCGGGTCGGCCGTCGCACTTCCTGGTCAGTTTCACGCACCTCGCTCGTGGGTGACCTCCGCAGCGGAACTCATCGACAGCGCACTCTGCCGGCGGAGCTGGAATAACGTAAAGTGTGACGTCGCCGTAGTGGTCCCGCTTGGCGATCGCAGGTACGCGTTCGCGTACGCACGCACGCAGAGCCACGCACATACAAGAATATGCTTTTATATAGATATCCACGTCAATATCTGTCCGTCATTGACGGGCGATATACAGTGCACACTAAATGTTGCCAGCATCTCGGCTTGAAGTTCGAATCGTAAACAGTCCCGATGTCGAGATAGTGACGTCATTATTGACGTCACCGGCGATCGGGATACAGACATCTCTTACCCTGATAGCCCGGCGCGCGGCAGTCCAGTTCATCGGAGCCATCGGGGCAGTCCGGGTCGCCGTCGCACACCCAGGGTAGGGGCAGACACAGCGAGGTGCCTGGACATTGGTGGACTGGAGCGTGGCAGCCATCTTTAAAATCTACGTCATCAACATCGAATCACAGTTAATCGAATAAAAAACCGAATTAATAGTAAAATTAGGCGACGTCACGATTTTGTGTTTGTATAGTTTGTCGGTAATCCTCATTGGTATAGTGATTCTAATTGCTTGCTGTTCGCTATTTCGGCAGGCGGCTCGAATGATTCTTTTTATTGTCGTTACGTTACGTTGCTCGCTTTGCTGGGTGGCTTTTCCAACGAAATATATTATAGTGGTCTTTCTTAGAACAGGCCCGATTAAACTGTGTAACGCACAAGCGACAAAGCGGCAAATACGTGATAAAGCGGCGATTAAGCGGTGGATACGTGACAACGTGCGTGCATACGGATTGTTTCTGAAAGTTGCGTTGCGGTGCGTTGCGTTGCGTTGCGTTGCGTTGCGTTGCGTTGCGTTGCGTTGCGTTAGGTCTTACGTTGCGTTCTAAAAGCGATGCGCCCGTTTATCAGAGGCCCTGTAAAGCGAGGACAACTGTGTGTGTGTGTGTGTGTGTGTGTGTGTGTGTGTGTGTGTGTGTGTGTAGTGCGTGCGTCGTGTCTGCGTCTCGGCGTACGGCGGCGTGCGTACTGCGGGCGCGCGCGCGTGTGTGCTGTGTGGTGTGTGCATTGCGGCGTCGCTGCTTACCGCGCGCGCGGCGGTGTTGCTCTGGTGTGTGTGTGTGTGTGTGTGTGTGTGTGTGTATCCATTGTATAAAATACGATATGGATAAATTCCTTTTGAGACGGTTTCAAAATCATGGGGTATATATAAAAAATAACAGCAGATCTCTAAAACGAGACTGACTTTCCTGCTCCAAGCTAAATAGCAACATTAATCTCGACAAGCTTCACCCTAACCCTACGGGCAGTTGTTATACCTACCTATACACCCATGCAGTCTGTTCCTGTCTGACTACTAATAATTCCACTAACAATTCGAGTACAGTTAAATTTATTACGTCTGCCCTTCGGCTTACTGTGACCTTCGGCGAATGAGAACGAGGCTAATCTCCGCGCGTGTACGGTTTCCATGACAACATATAGACGCGCGTTCGGTTACATACGATAATCCGTGCGATTACATGTGATTATACTTGCGAGAAATGAGTTACGCGAGACCAGCACGCACGCACGCACGCGCACATACACACACGCACGCACGAACACACTCACATAGAAACACGCACTGTCACAAAGGCGTCGGAAGCAATAAAATAGTGCCGCGGCTTTGGTGATAGGGCGAGCCCCGGGGAGGCGAAGCCACCCTAGGGGGGTCTGGGGGCATGCCCTCCCCCGTGAAAATTTTGAAATCTACAAGGCAAATGGTGGGCTCTGGTGCATTCTGAGCATTGTGATTTAGCACAAAAAAGTGTGTTTCACTGTAATTTTAGAAAAATACATGATGATTTGAAAGATTTGTTGCTTAAGACCAAAAACTCCAAATTTATTTTTCTTACTTTATCAGTGGAATAATCTTTGGTAAAACTTCCTGAAATACATTCCCATTTAAGACATGCATGCATACAATTGTACTGGTGCTCACAAACGAACTGTTAATATTCGTCATGAAACGCGCTGACCCTGGGCAAAGCATGCTCCCTCAATATAACGCAACGGCATGCTGCCTGCATAGAATCAGGAGTAGACGGGGAGCAGAGGAATGTGTGCCAGAGTTCTGGATCATAAAATTTTATAGCTACAGGTGAACTGCAGGGGCATGTACAGGATTTGGACCAGGGAGGGGTCTAACCGTAAGACTTGCGAGCACGCAAAGCGGAGGTCTCAGAATTTTTTGGAAATTAGACCCCCTCAGATGCGTTTTCTGCGCAAGCAGGGGGGGGTCCGGACCCCCTGGACCCCCCCTGTACACGCCCCTGACCTGACCTCATCTGACCCTGGTCTCCGCTTATAGGGGCCTAGATTACACGTATATAGATGATATATGTACCGGCCAAAAGACGGTATAAATTATTGAAAGATTTTGGTTACGGAAAATTTATGGCCTGAAAAAAGTGCCGCGGCGGTCGCCGCGGCTGCCGCGGCAGTTCCGACGCCGCGACGTACACACATACATACACACATACACACACATACACACACGCACGCACACGCACACACACATACACACACGCCCCCACACACACACACACACACACAGACCCCCCCACACACACACACAAATAAACAAACACACGCACGCACGCATACACACGTAACGAGAGAGAGAGAGAGAGAGAGAGAGCGCGCGCGCGGCGAGAGAGAGAGAGAGCGTGCATGGGGAGGAGCTAGTCAGAGAGAGGATGCATTAAGGGAATATAGCATTCATGTGAAGTGCGTATATACACACGAGCTGGAGCGATACGCACGAGAAAGGCACGAATCCCCGTGCGACGGTTTAACAGACATAAAACATGCATGCGCAGTCAGTCGGGCGCCCGTAGAACGACACATGCATGCGGTAGCAAGAGCGAGCGCGATATAATTTGCCTCATAATGCGATAAGCACCATCCCAGCATAGTAGCCGACCTCTGCATAATCCAAGATAGCGGCGGGTATGCCTCACAGGACCCCTCACGACAACAACGCGTACACGCATAACTCAAGTTTTAATGATTCCGTGCATTAATCATTATTGCTTTGCCAGTGAGTGGGTAATTAGCGGCGGATCTATGAGCGTAATTACGTCACGGTGGGTCATGATCAAAGCTTGTCACGCCGCGTGAACTTATTATGACTGCGTGACCCCTCACACGGGCATATAATTATATAGATTATATCAGGAGTGAAAAATAATAGATCCATTATTATTTACTATCTATTATACTATAATACTATTTAATTATATATATAGTATTATATATATAATTGATACAATTAATCATTCTCTCCTATATTATATATAATAGTGCTATATTTATATATGCAGATTATCAGTATATATATTATATATATAGTATAGTATATTATATAGTATATATTACTGTTATGATTAAGACGTTAGTGGTCTGTGCGGTTACGTGGGTAACGTAGGCGTGACGTACATAACATACATACATATACGTTACATACAGTACATAATACATACATACATTATATACATACATACATACATGACATACATACATAGCATACATACATACATATCATATCATATCATATACATACATACAGTAGCATACATACATTACATATCATTAACATAGCATACATACATACTAGACATACATACAGGTGACATACATACATACATACATACAATAGGATAGCATACATACTATACTACATAATATACGTACTACATACATACATACATACATACATACATACATACATACATCATACATATGCATAATACATAATACAATACATCTACATACATACAAGCATACATACATACATACATACATTACAGGTACTTATACATACATCAATAGCATAATACATATATACATACATACATACATAACAACATACAGATAGTCATACATACATACATATCAGTACATAGCATACATACATACATACATACATACAGTAACATACATACATGACATACATACTACATACATACATTACATACTACATACGATACATATCATACATACAGTACTAGCATCTACATACATAACATAGCATACATAGCATACATACATACAGTACTAATTACATTAAATACACTTACATACATACAGTACATACATAGCATACCATTACATACATACATTAGCATACAATACATACATAATTACAGTACATACATACATACATACATACATACATAGATAAATACATACATACATACATTAACATAACAATAGCATACAATACATTACATGTTCCATAACATACATAGCATACATACATACATTACATACATACAGTAGCATAGCATATCATACATACATACATACATACATATATACCATACATACATACTCACATATCATACATAGCAATACATACATACATACATACATCATAATACAGTTCATACATACATAACTACATGTACATACATACATACATACATAGCAACTATAAATACATACATACATAATACATAGTCATACTATTACATACATAGCATACATACATTAATACATTAGCATTGTACATACTACATAGCAATACATTAGCATAGCATACATTACATTACAGTACATACATACATACCATAATGACAGTACGAGTATACATATACATACATAGCATACATGACATACATACAGACAATACTATGGCATACATATCAATACATACATACATACATACATACAATTACATACATACATACATTAGCATACATACATCATACATACGATACATAGCATACGATACATACTAGTACATACATAGCATACAATACATACATACATACATTACATACATACATACATAGCATACAATACATACTACATACATACATACATACATATCATAATAACATACATACATATCATACATACATACATACATAATACATACTATACACTTACATACATATCAATATCATGACATACATACATTATCATACATACCATACAATCATACATACATACATCATACATACATACTACATTACATACATATGCATAGCATACATACATACATACTACTACATTCTATATCAGTACCATAGCATACATACATACATCGATTATCATACATAACATATCATTACATATCATACAACATAGCATAGCATACATACATACCTATGCATACATACATACATACATAAGTATCCTACCATACATACATACATACTATACATACATACATACATAAGTACATACATTACATCACATACATAACATACAGGTACATACCTATACCACATGACCAACATACATACATTACTACATACAATTACATACATACATACATACATACATACATTACATAAATAACATACATACATACATGTACATACATTACATACCTACATTACATACATAGCATACATACAGTATCATTGACATTACTATACATACATACATACATATCAGTACATAGCAATTACATACATAGCATACATGTGACAGTAGCTACATACATACATCCATACATACATTACATACGATAAGCAGTACATAACATACATACTTGATACTTTACATATTCGCGCTAGACGAAGCGCGCCTCGTCCAGCGATCGAAGTCATTAGGTAAGCGGGAAGCTCATTATTGCGCTCGGGCTATTTCATAACGGGCAAATTGAACGGGAAGTTGCTAGCTCCCCCATGCTGCGATCTACTTATGGTGGGGGGGGAAGATGGGGATGGGGGGGGGTGTTACGCTGTCGGTGTTTGGCGGCGGGGGCGACACGCGTAAGCTGCGCGAATCTGTCTGGCGCACGTGGTGTTGTGTGTGTGGTGTTGTGTGTTGTGTGTGTGTGGTGTGTGTGTGGTGTGTGTGTGTGTGTGGCATTGTGTGTGTGTAATGTGTGGTGTGTGTGGTGTGTGTGTGCGTGGTGTGGGTGGTGTTTTGTGTTGTGTGTGGTGTGCGCGCGTGTGTGTGTCGCACGTGTGTGTGTGTGTGTGGTGTGTGTGTGGTGTGTGTGTGAGTGTGTGTGTAGTGTGGATGTGTGTGTGTGTGTGTGTGAGAGAGAGGTGTGCGTACGCGCGCGCGTGTGTTTGTAATTTCATCATGTTGTGATCGATATAAAGGAATTACGTTATCAATGGCCGTGGCACTTTACAAAAGACACGCCTGAACCGACGTTCATTACATTCGTATTTCACTACGCCGGCTGATACAATGCAATGTATGAAAGATTATGAATGAGGACAATCAAAGACAAATTGAGATGTCCTATTATCCTACCCGCTGAA